CAGACACTGGCAGGCAGACACAGTTCACCAGGTGGTTCAACTCAACAACACAACCCCAGCTCCAGGCCGACAGCCTGCCTGGACATCTTCATCCAGCTGACTCTATTGCTGAGGGCAGGCTTGGGCCACAGAAAGCCTCAGCAGGACAGAGAGTCAGAGCAAGCCCTTCTCCCGTACCTGTAGAGCTGCAGTGTGTGGCGTTTGCCCTGATGCGTGATCTCATATTTTGGCAAGCCACAGAAGCGGTCCAGCTCTGTGTCATCCTTGTACCAGGTCACCTCTGGTTCTGGGTATCCTAAGAAGGAAACAGGAGACTGGGCTGCAGTAAGACCAATTTCAAAAGAGTGAGATGAGAGAACAGGATGTCATGGCTCCCCGAAACCACCTGAAGAGACTGGACTGGCACACTTGCCCCAGGCTTGCTGGCAGAACAGGGCTATCATATGGTTGAGCATATTTTTAGAATCTAGGCCCTGTCAAAGATGAAAATTGCTCCTCTTCAGCATCTGGAAGGCAAATACGGAGGAGAAACTTCCTAGCTTCCTGGTAAGAAGAGAAGGAAGAAGTTTCTAGAAAGCCTTGGCTGGTAGTAATAAACTTCCTTTCTTCAGTGGCCTGTTCACATCCTCAACTGTAATGATGGCTCTATCCTCAGAAATCTCCCGCAACACCTCAACACCACTGCCAAGAGCCCTCCTTCTTGCATTCCAGGTTCCTGAGCAATTACTTGATGACATGGCTAAAACATCCATCCGTTCACCCATCCACCCACCAAACCATCCACACCTACCTACCCTACTGCTGTGAGGCTGGCTGAAGTGTCCTCCCAGCCCCTCCTCTCTGGGGACTTCCAGGTCTACCCACAAGGAGAGATTCTAACTATCAGAGTCACATAGCTGACTGGTCCACTAACAGACACCCAATCAGCTAATCCAATCCAAATCACTGACCTAGGATTTGGGAGTTAGGACCGAGAGACAGTCTTCCCTTGTTGTCTGGAAATATGACTTCAAAGGGGCACAACCATGCTCTGCCACATGGACTGAGAAGCAGACTAAACTGGTCTGTAGCGAGATGGAAAAATGAATTCAATGTTCAGGATAGAATAAGAGCTCGGAGCCAGAGAAAGAGTCCCAACATCCTTCCAAATACTGGCTCCATTCCTTGCCTGGGCACGGCCGCCCTCCAGTCAATTTCATAAAAAAACCTGGCTAGCCTTACCAATGAATTCAGCTAACTACAATTGATTTGCAATACTTACTAGAAAACAAAGACTCCTAATGTACAACCCCCTCAAATATATATATTATGTGCTGACTGCCAAGTGAGGGTTATGAAGACAGAGAAGCATGACAGACAGGGTATCTGCTCTCAGGGAAACTATTGCACAGCAAAACAAGATAAGACAGGTCCTTACACACCTGCTCTCCCTGCCCTACTGTCTATGGATAAATTGCCCACACGCCTTGCTAACGCTGCCCATACTGGATCCCACTTCCTGTCTCATCAGGGACATCTCTCCAACAATTGTTCTGTTCTCTCCTGTATCACCAAACTTTTCCTCTCTATTATATTATTGCTATCAGCACACAGCCTGCTGCACTGTCTCCCTTCTGAAAAGGAACTTCATTTGACCCTAATCCTCTTCTCCTGCCCCTGTTTCTCTGTTCTCTCCTTTACAGGAAAAAAACTTAGAAAGACTTGTCTGTACTTGATCTTCCATTCTCTCCTCCAATCTGGCTTTTGTACCCACCACTGTACCAGAATTGCTCTTGTCCAGGTCACCTGTGACGCAAACAGTGCCAAATCCACTGCTAATTCTTATGCCTTATCTACCCAATCTATCAGCATTGACCCACCTCCTGAAACCTTCTCCTCACCTGGTCCTTCTGAGGGCTCTTCCTGCTTCACTGGCCGATTTTCCTAATCTCTTTCATCCTCACCACCTAGGCCTATAAATGTGAGATGTCCTAGGGCTCAGGCCTCAGAACCATTTTCCATTCTTTCTCCATATAATTTAGGGGATCTAATCCCGTCCTGTGGCCTTTAAACATCTATATGTTCATGACTCCCATATTTATATGTGTAGCGCAGACCTCTCCCCTGAACTCCTGGTTCTTGTTTCTCACCTGATATCCAAGCTCCTTATTCTCTCTCCCAAGCCAGTTCCCACACAGCTCAGTAAATGGCAACTCTACCCTTCTATTTTGGCTCAGGGCAAAGCCTAGAGGTAATCCTTTATTCCTTCCTTTTCTCATGTCGACTCCATCAGACAAACCTAAGGGTCCTCCCTTCAGAATAACCAGAATTGATCACTTCTTGCCATTCTCACCATCGATCTGGTCTATCACCATCATCTCACACCTCAATTTCTGCAATAACCTCCTCTCTGGTCTCACTACTCCCTCCCTGGGTCTCTTCAACCCATTCTCAGCACAGCAACCAGAGGGAGCCTTTTTAAATAAAGTCAGGCCCTAGCTGGTTTGGCTCAGTGGATAGAGCATCCGCCTGTGGACTGAAGGGTCCCTGGTTCAATTCCGGCCAAGAGCCCATGCCCAGGTTGCAGGTTCGATCCCCAGAAGGGAGCCTGCAGGAGGCAGCCAATCAATAACTCTTTTTCATCACTGATGTTTCTATCGCTCTCTTTCTCCCTTCCTCTCTCGTCAGGCCATGACGCCCCTCTGCTCGAAACCCCAATAGCTCCAATTTCATTAAGGCCTCCTGACCTGGGGCCCATTAGCACACTGACCTCACCTCCTACCACTTGGCCTTGCCCAGCGCACTCCGGCCCATGATGCTGCAGGCTCCTTTCTCACACACCATGTGAGCATCACACTGCAAGTCCTTGTCTGTCCTCACATCAGCTCCTCAGAGAAGCCTCTCCCAGCACTTCTTAATCCTCTTACCGTTTAATCTTTCTTCACAGAACGCATGGCTACCTGACATATTATACACTATGACTTTGTTAGTTTACGTCCATCCTCTCCAGGGTGCCCATGAAAATATCAGCTGCATGACTTATGTTATTCACTGTTGTGTCACCAGTTTCTAGAATAGTGCCTGGTATGGAATCGCTCATTAAATATTTATAGATGAATGAATGAAGCAATGCATCAAGTGTTCAGGGTGCAGAGAAGGGAGCAAGCACTCCTGGCTGGGGAATAAGGAACAGCTTTATGGTAGGAGTGGCCTTTGAACTAGCTTTGAAGGGTAGGCCAGGAAATGTGGGCCGCCCACACTGGATCCCACCTCCTCTTCACTTGCCCTTCATAGCACTGTAATTGACTGTTTCCTTGTCTTCCTCCCCTCCTTGACTTTGTCCCCTGTGGACAGGAATCATGTCTTCCTTGCTGCTATATCCCCTCCAACTAAGACAGTGCCTGGTACACAGCAGTCACTTCATAAAACCTGCTGGATAAGTGAGTATATGAGTAAGTAAGAGAATGAGTGAACAAACAAACCAGAGGTGACGGGAAGGGCATGCCTGACAACAGTAGAGTAGGGGTGGGGGGGAGAGTAGAGTGGTGGAAGCACAGGGCACCCTGGGAACTGTGTACAGAAGCTGGGAACAAGAGAGGCAAGGCTGCAGCCAGGTCGGCCAGGAACAAACTCTGGGCAGCCCTGACTGTAAAGTGAACCCCATGTTTCCACTGTGAGCTAAAGCCCCTGGTTACATCACTATGCATATGGCCAGGACCAGCACGGGTGCCCTCACCATCCTGTGGGATGATCTCATCCCTACAAGGGCCCGGCTCAGAGCCTCCCTGCCCCATGACCTGACCAGTAGGGCCTCGGCATCAGGGCATCTGAGTCCATCCAGGCTGGAGCAAGGGGGCAGGGATGGGGAAAGAAGGTGGACACTGATTGAACTCCACAGCCTCAAGGCTGGGGCCAAAGCCCCCATGCCACCCACTGTGCCTCTTTACAAAGTGGGACGGACCTGACAGCTTAGGGCTCCATGGCAACCATGAGTTTTGGAAACAACTTTAATTGGGGAGAAAACATGGCTTGTCCCCTGGATAATATGAACTGTATTCTAAAACAGACCAAAGCAGGCGAGATCCTTCCCTCCCTGCTGCACACACGTGCATGCCGAAGTGTGTGCCCACAGAGGCACTGGAGCCGGTGGCCTTCCGGTCACACCCTGTGACCTCTGCTTCACAGCCAGCAGACCCGAGTCTGGAACCCAACTTGGAACTTGCAGCCTCCTCCCAACCATTCCGTTTGGAGAAGCTCAGATTCAAGAGTCATAATGAATGTAAATCTCAAGTTTTCAAAGAGCTTTCAAGTACAGAGTTTCATTTGGCCTCAGGACAATCCTGTGAAAACAACCGCTAATGTTTACTCATGACTTACTCTGAGTCAAGCACTGAGCTGAACATTTTTCATGTATTATCTCATCTAATCCTCACAAAAAATCCTGTGAAGAATGTTAATTCCCAATTTGAGGAAGAGAAAATCAAGGCCCATGAAATGAAGGCTCCTACCCAAATTCATCCAGCTGCTAAGTAGAAGAGCCAAAATTCAAATCCCTCTCTTCCATAAAACAGGGCGGGTGTTTTAATCCCTATTTTATGCAAAAAAAAAAAAAAAAAATGAGAGTCAGAAAAAAACTAAGAAACTTACTCAGGGTCACATAGCTGGCCCATGACAAAGCCCTGGTTTCCTTTTTCCTTTTCTAATGATCTTTCTACTGGTGATTCTGGGACCAATATGCAAGTTTCTGCACCAGTAGTCATTATTTAGACTTACATCTCTAATAAGTTTCTTCAGGAACTTGGTTCTGTCTAAAGGCTCAGTCCCTCGATCCATCTAGCCTGCTGCTAGTATTTCCTCTTTCTCTTGCCCCAACATATGTGCACACACATTCACACACACCCCAACATTGAATCTATAAGTGTTGAGGAGAGTGGGGAAGGAGGCCACCATGCTAGACAGCAATGGGCTAGACAGCCTCAGGGAAGGCAGTAGCATTCTGGCTTGAGGGGCTCCTGGGGGAGATAGGAAGCAAAAGGACCAGTCAAGGTCCACTATCCTCCTACGTGTTAACTCTGACAGAGAAGAATCTCAGGGTAAAACTTGTCCTCTCTGAGCCTCCAAGGGCATCCCTCACAGGTCAGCCCACATGGAACCAGCACAGCGGCCTCTCTCTCACCTGAACTAGGTTCTGACCCACCAGGAAAGCATCACCTGCTCCTGGCAGGGGCTGACTCATCACAGCCTAGTATAAAAAATGCTACCAGCAGGGTGGAGGAAGAGAGGCAACTGTGATTACTGTCTCCATGGAAACGAGCC